GCTCAAGAAAGGAAGGAAGGAAGGAAGGAAGGAAGGAAGGAAAGAAATAAAGAAATAAAGAAATAAAGAAATAGCAATAGCAATAGCAGTTAGACTTATATACCGCTTCATAGGGCTTTCAGCCCTCTCTAAGCGGTCAGCATATTGCCCCCAACAACAATCCAGGTCCCCATTTCACCCACCTCGGAAGGATGGAAGGCTGAGTCAACCTTGAGCCGGTGAGATTTGAACAGCCGAACTGCAGTCAGCTGAAGTAGCCTGCAGTGCTGCATTTAACCACTGCGCCACCTTGGCTCATTCTATAGGTTTGTGCAAGACACGGGAGGGGAGGGGTGGGGGGAAACCAAACTAAGTCAGTATACCTCAGCCTGAGGATAATAGGAAGTTGCACAAAGCTACCAGTCAGGCTTGCAACCATGTCAAGATCAGACGAGGGTGCAAAAAAGCTGAATGGAGAAGGGAAAGTCACACTCATCTTAAGATCCGATTTTTATTCCATCCCGTTTTTAAGAAGCTCGAGGAGGCGATCACTTTTTCGATCTCTTCCCCCACTTCCCAAGACGCCCACGTCTGCCCTGCGAAACAGCCTCGAAGTTACCCTACACATTTCAGCCTAACATCTCCCAACATCACCCCGTTTGATCTTGATCTCTTGGGAGGCCGTCGCGCTGCGAACCCCCTTTCCTCTCCCTCTCCCCCACCCCACCCAGCCCCCAAGTCAGCACGCACCTGCCTACCTCGGTGACAATGGTGTTGTCGTAGTACTCTCGACTGAACTCCCAGCCGTCCAGGCACTTCTCCTGCCCCACCTGGCTGAGATTGACATCGCGGCCAGGCTCCAGGTTGCCGGCCGAGAAGTTGAGCAGGGCCTCGAGATTGTAGCGGTTGCACTGGCTCCGCACCTGCCGCCCGCCGCGCTTCACCAGAGGGATGCTGGCGTTGAGCCACGCCGAGCTCAGGTTGACGTTAGCAGGTATCCGACACCAGTGCTCGGGGGTGGCGGCCAAGAAGACAGCGGACAGCCCCGTGTAACCATTAGGGATGATGCTGGCGCTGAGCAGGAAGAAAATGAGGCGCTGGAAGGGGCCCCATTCGCCCAGAAAGGCGGTGGCCTCCTCGTAGTTGAACATAACTGACAGAAGGCAAGCAAGGCCAATGCAGAACGCCTGGCAAAGGACGGTTACGGCCTGAGACGCTCGCTCTCGCTAGCACAGGCAGCAGCTGCTGCTGGCCCGGGCGAAAGGAAGGGCGAAAGTAAACCCAGCCGGCCGCCTGCAGTACATGGGACGAAGCAGGGGCCGGCCGGCCGGCTCAGGAGGCTGGTTGTGGGTGTGGTTTGTACACAAAGGGCTGGAGCGCTGCGCTCGGCCCGCCGACGAAACCAGGCCCGCGTCGGTCTGCAAGTTCCCGCGCGGAAGAGAGGGAATCACCTCCCGCCTGCTTTTTTTTTCTTTTTAGGCTGAAGGGCTTTGAGTTTATTATTAAGCTCCGCCCAGGGAAAATTTTGCTTTGAATGTAAATTTAAAAAAAGAACATTGCAGTACCGGTGGAGTCTGTTCGGTTCAGGTTTCTCTCTTGAGATGGAAAGCAAACTTTTTAAACGTTTTTTCTTAAGCCTTTACTCTGACAGGCGGTTGTGTAAAACGGATGCAGAAACGAGCAGCCCAAGAGAGAGTGACAGGCAGCGTGGTTTGAAATGTATTACTTAAAAAAAAACCACATTGTTTATGTAGGGCATAGTCAACAGTATTTGCTTAACATGTACAAAACTAGTAGACTAATAGATCCGAACCAGCTTTGCCTCATCTGCCACTCTGCCTCTGTACTGTTAAGCTCTGGATTTCAAAGAATAATACAGAAGTTACCCAATTTCCTTGCTTGCCCAGTCCCAACCATTATTCCATTTTGATTTATTTTAGTTAGGCTAATGAAATGCTCACACCAATTTCTGTAGACTTAGTACGAAGCCATGGTGTTTGTTTTGTTTATTGTTTCCAGAATTTCATAAAATATAAATCGATTATGGTTTTGTACTATGACCACTGTATTATGTTCACCAAATCATACTTAAATTATCGGTTATATGGAATTCAACCTTATGGCAGCCTTTCTCAACCTAATTATAGCCCCCCTCCAAATATTTTGGAATAGACAATAATATTTCCTCTATCTATTACCATATTCCAATACTGAACATTGATATAAACCTTTATTTTTTATTAGAAAGCAATGCAACAAGCAAAATGGATTATTCTAAAAGCATTTGGTACTACCCAATCCAATCATTCCGTAGCTTTTAAAGTAGCTTTAAAATGACTGTTCTGAGGTTTATTTACTGACTGTTTATTTTAAAAAATATACATTTAAACACAAACAAAACATTGTACTCAAAGATTGATTCTGGTTCACAAATTGCTATCAGATTTCCAAAAGTTTAGATTGGGTGCCATAAATACTTACAAAATTGTTTATATTTTCAATTCTTAATGTACTTTTGTTACTCAGATTTGCCAGTTGCTATACAAAATTTGTTTGGCGCAATGTTATCTGTGATGATGATTACTACTGAAATGATCCATGTCACAATTTATGTGACCTTTCTCCCCAATATGGTGAAGCATCAGCTGAGTTACTTCAAATTCCAAAGCACTGAAGTTAGTATGGTCAAGCATTTTGATACAAGGTATTTAAAAAACAACAGGGTAAACATTTTTCCCCCTCAAACAACTAAGTAGAAGTGTAAAGTAAGCCTAGCATCTTCATTATCAAAAATATTTTGAATAGACATAGATTAGTTCTTAAAATTTCAGAACCTAAAATGATCCAGGAAGATTATTTCTTTATATGTTATAAATGTTGTATACAGATAGTCTTCAACTGAAGACCACAATTGAGCCCAAAATGTATGTTGCTGAGACATTTGTTAAGTGAGTTTTGCCCCATTTTACAATCTTTCTTGCCACAATTGTTATGTGAATCACTGCAGATGTTAAATTAATAACACAATTGTTAAGTGAATCTGGTTTCCCTATTGACTTCATTTGTCAAAAGGTTGCAAAAGGGGGTCACATGACCCTGGGACACTGCAACCATCATGAATATGAACCAGTTGCCAAATGTCTGAAGTTTGATCATGTGACCATGGGCATATTGCAATGGTAAGTGTGAAAAAAAGCACTTTTTTTTCAGTGAGTTTGGTCACTAAATGAACTGTTGTAAATCGAGGACCACCTGTATTCTCAACTCCATCAGGACTCCTGGTGGATTATATAAATCTAGTGACAGAACATAAAATTGAACAATATAAGTAAATCTAATTGCAGATTCTACTACATAATAGGCAAATAACAGGGTGAATTAATTGTAAATACAAGTAGCAACTGAATGAATGTAATGAGCTTCCATAAAACCAACTGTCAAATCTTGGAGTACCACATATCTAGCAAAAGCTAAGATGTTTCTCTTAGTTACTTGACCAAAGGTTAAGTATGCGCAATAAGGGTGTGTGTAGTCAGGAATAATCAGGAATGGGGGTGAGAACATTATTCTAGATAATTAAAAATGTATGCGATTTCTTTTAGCTTGGAGTTGTTTTCTGATTTCAGAAGTTAAACTAGGTAGGCCTAGTTATGTTATCCATGAATGGGATCTCAAAAAAAAACCTTCTTAGAAAACAAAGGCAAATCACTTTGATGCTATTCCAGGAAACCGTATGTAGACATGTTCATGAATAGGTGAGGGATCAAGCTTGAGATAGACTGTGTATTTTTACTGGAACAAAGGTGATGAGAATGATATGAACAGTATGGCAGCTCCATCACTCAAGCCCTGTCCCTTTTACAAGCCTTTTTCTATAGCTTCACATGTATGTACACCCTAAAGGGGCAGAGTTTGCATTTGTGCTTTTATCATTCTTAGCAAAAGCAGCAAAATCTGTGGATCCTGCTGAAGAAGACTTTTCCTATACTGGATCCTCATTTTCCTTCAACCTTGAGTTTTATCAAGCAGAAATTTAATGGGAGAAAACCTTAGTTTCTACCTCAAAATATAATCCTGACATAACAAGTGAAAAAAGTGATAAGACTGAATTCAAACAATATACACAGCTTTAAATCATGTTTTGCAAAACTCAATGGCTTGATTAAATTAACATGTAAAACCAAAATCAAGTTATATTGTCACTGAGTATGAGGCATGAAGCATGAGGCAGCCTTGTAAACAAAAATAATTAAATACTTGTGCTTATCTGTAAAGCAAATAGTGGCTGGGAGAGGAATAAGGAAGGTTTTTTTTAAAAGGTGAAAAGAATTTACTAGTCTCATTAAAACCCAAGTCTTCTAGATATTTTAATTGAAAATAAATCAGAGAAGAAAATCATACTTTGAATAGTTTTCTTTTTACTTATTTATGTCCTTTATTTTTACAAATAACTCGAGACACTGAAAAATATCCAACACAGCTTCTTCTATTTTCCACACAACCGTTGGGCTGAGAGAGAGTGACTGGCCCAAAGTCACTTTTCCAAGACTGACAGTAATATTTCAGATTTAGCTCCCTACCAATAGATAAATATGCATTCAAAATATACCTATATATGCAACCATATTTACTATGTAACATCAGACTGTTCTATTCATCTAGCCAATTGTACTGTTGTCACCTTTACATACATACATACATACATACATACATACATACATACATACGGTGTGTGTGTGTGGTGTGTGTGTTTTAATTATATACTAGGAGGGACTCAAAATGTATTGCATTAAGGAATGAAATATATTACTATACTTCAGTTAAATCTAACTCTTGCTTGCTATCTTGCACTTTGCGATTACTTGAGGCTTCATACAAGCCTGTACAGAGACCAATATTTGAGGCTTCTTCATGCATGTACAGATTTTTTCTTTGAACATACTCCAGGAAGGGAATGTGCCATGGCACACGAATCATTAAAATAAAAATTCTTCAATTCAGAAGCAATTTATCACAAACCTCAAATATGCCTGTGAAGGACAGTGCTCATAGGGTAAAAGATAAAGCCTCTCAAGTTGAGTTCAGCTGATGACTTTATGGAGATGACTTTGGATTTCCTTGAAACAATAACAGATATAGTTGCCATTGCCTTGTTTTATTTCTTCTATAGCTACTGAATAATGACAGAGCTTGCAAATGAAGTCTTTAAAAAGGCTTTATAGTGTTTCCCAATTAAATGGAGAACGATTCCTTATTGCACGTTTGCTTGGATAGGAAACAGATGAACTAGTTAGTATTCATCTACTTCAGTTAGCAAGAGATCATTCAGAAGGCCTGAAGCTGCAGATGTATCTCTAAACAAATATTAAACTTACATCTAGCTAACTTGGAGAAAGATTTGAATTGAATTGTTTAATAAAACGTTAGAGGAACATGTTCAAAATATGTTGTCTTGATATATGAAAAGAAATGTAAAATCTGTTTGCAGAAACCCAGGAAATTTGCACCCATGTTGAAATTTCGAAGTATCGTAACCTAAAGCCAACTAGATCCACACCTGCTTATCATTTTGAGATCACCAAGAGGCCCTCATAATTGTCTCCAAAACTATAACTTGAAGTCTTTCCAAGTGGAAGATATTTAAATATTAACTTTGTGAAGACTTTTATAAATTAAATGATAATTTATTTCCAATTATTTGTGCTTTTTAAAATACTTCCACATTCAGTAATATATTGCATCTCTATTTGTGACACAGATCTGTGTGCTGTTTTAAAGAGACCCAGTCCTCAAATCAGTTGCATATAATTTTAATTTTGCATATAACCCTAATTGTTCACACTGATGCAATAGGATTGGGTGTCTCATTCATTGTACATATGTTGTGCATTGACAAATTATTATTATTAAAAGTAGTGATGTGAACCAAAAAAATTTAACAGCTTTGATAATTGTTCAAAGTATTTGTCTGCTTCGGGATATCATGGCTACTTTGTTTTGTTATTAAGATACCCTATCCCAAATTTGAAACTATAATGCAGTATTGATTGTAATGTCCTCATAATTGTCCTAAAGTGATTCATATTTATTGATATCTGCGTTATTTAATACTAAATCAGCATCAACTCTCAGGCTAAGTTTCATTGGTTCCCCAACCTCCATATATTACAGTATATATTCATGTTTCATATTGTTAGTTCTTTGACTAAATAAGAACAATGTCATCAGCACCTGAAGGAAATGTATTTTTTATATTACTATACACGTGGGATTTCCCTTTTTTACTCTTCAAGCACAGAAAACAACTCAGCATATGTTTTGAAGGTTTTGTTTATGTTTTACTCGCAATGAAGAAAATAAAGAGATACTGTTACAGGGTGATACATGACAGATTCCATAAACTTTATACAAATCGGCACAATCCAAATGAACAGTGAAGAGTCCAACATAGAACATAAATTTGTAAGATAGGAATTCCTCTCTGCCTTACACCTTTGTCTCGATCTGCTCTGAGGATCCTCCAATAGGAAAGACCACTGCACTTCCTTCCCCCTTCTAATCACAAAACCAGTTCTTTCAATTGGAGAACCTGATTCCAATCAATATTCAATACATTATCAGATACAGTATAAGTGCAATCCAAAACACATCTAAAAGAGCTGTTAGAGGAGATATATGGAATAGATAACTCACACTTTGGTTAACTGAGAAACTTCCGTCTTTTTTTTAAATAAGGAACACCAAACATGACTACAAGGCACTTTACAAAATTAACAATTGAATGGAATTTGCTCAGCCTGATTTATAACTTGTAGCCTTTTATTGCAACCTAATAGGAGCCAGATTCCTTCCTTTTTAGTGTCTTTCAAGGCAGTAGCAAAAAATGGAGCTCTATTGAAGTACTGATTCCCTACTTGCATGTCTGATGAATGTTTTTCACTGAATGCAAAATTGTGCATACTGCTTACCAGGAGACATAATTAAAACTTTGGCTAGCACCACAATTGTTTTACAGAAAAAAACAAAGTAAAGGAAGGACTAAAATGTGACAATGACTTGCCTTCCTCCATTCCAAATGGTCCTTCCATTTCCTGTCTTTGGAAGATTGCAATCATTATATGAAAAATCCCTGAGAAAGATCTATTTTGGCAAAGAATGTACATTTTACTGAAAAATATTTTATGCAGTAATTATTAATACTACAGAACATAATATGTCAAAAAACCATGCCTGGAAGTTATAAATCTTCAGCTACTTAGCAATGAAAGACAAAAAAATTACAATTGTTGCTTTCTTTAGTAGACTTTCTTCAATTACTAAATTGGACCTCAGATGAAAGCAACTATATTATAAGAAATTATGGATATATCAGGAGGTTAAAATGTCTTTACAACTTGCACTAGGTCAGGTAATACTGTAATAGTCTTTGAGAAGTGATCCCTCCAAAAATTAAAAACAAAATTGCAAAGTCACAATCTTCTAGAAAGTGCAGCTTTCTAAACTGGACAGTGTTGAACTAAAAATCAAGAGACTCTCAAACAATGAAAAAACTCTAGAAAAACTAGATTCTCCAAAAAAGTACCACAAATATTGTCTTAGAAACAGTTACAATTACAACAGGGTAAAACTGTATAGGAATCCATTATTTTGTTCAAAATATTTATACATAATATATTTATACATAATATATTGCCAGATTACAATACATTATTAAACAATTTTATTTGAAAGTTTTATTGAGAGTCATTAGCGTGAACTCTCCCTCCCCCCCATGGTGTTTCAGTATCCTGCCTGTTTGCCATAGGTAAAAACCTGAGAAAACACTGTGGATCCACAGCGATAGCTTGCAATTCAGAACCTGGCAATCTTGCAAATAACTTGAATATTAGAAGAGTCATGTTAAAGACTGGTAATGTTTTGTACCAGAACCATAAAAAATAGAAAAAGAAATGAACATAGCATACATTCATATAATGCTAGCATCACTGCACAGGCTTCATAAGGCAAAGTGTTCTCCTACAAGGAACAAGAGGTACTAGTCCTGAATTTGTCACTTGAAAGTAAGGAGTTGATTTAAATGCTGCTTTGCTCTTTTGCCATTCTTTTTCAAGGTAGATACAGATGTTTCATATAGAATGTGAAGTTATTAATCTTTAGTTTTCAAAGGAGCGGTTAGAAAAAGCTGCTTTTATAAAGACTTTCTTTGCCATATTTAAAACTGTTGCTAAGTAAAATTTAAAGCAGCCTTCACAAAACCTTCACAGATAATGTCCAAGATAGTCTTGTCCATCAGATATATTAGAATATAAACTCCATCAGTCTCATAAATAGTCAGCATTTTCTTGGGATCATCACATTGGAGAAGATTCATCTAAGGTCATAAAACAAATTGTTCTGGACTAGTAGTATTATAACAAAGCATGCTGTGTTCAGATTAACGGTACAGAAACACAGCATATTCTGCGGTTTTGCTACAGTTAGCAGGTTGCATACTTTTTAATGAATTAAATCTGATTAATATATTACTAGGAATGTTACTTGGGCAGTAAAAGCAGGAAAGCCAGTTTCCTCCCATGATGCAGGCAAAATCTGAATTACAGAAGTTTACATTTTTATAAAATGCCATTTTAAGCTTTTCAAACAAGTAATAGATACAGGCATATGATTTTGTGGACAAAAGATAAAGAATTTCAGTATTTAATGGACAATAAATTGTGATCTATACATAAAGACCCAATTGTCTGAATACTTGATTTAAATCACTATCTTATCATATGACTTTCTCAGCAAAGGATTTGCTGACAAGCTCATGCACACCGTCATCTTTAATACTTTATCACCTAAAATGTTTTAAAAATCCAGTTTCATAAAACAGTTTCTTCTGGCAGGCTGACTTAATCCAACACAACACCTGACTTATATTTCTCATTGAAGAAAATAAAGAGTTTTACTTGGCCCAGTGAATTAATTGATCATATAAATAAGTAGAATGCAAAAGTGTGGAGAAAACTACATATTGTGTGCATTGACAGGCGAATTTCCTAAAAGGTAGAAACCAATGATAGTGAATTTTAAATTTTGGATTTTCAGAGTTGTTTTCTAGTTGACAGAGGAAAATATGGTTATAATTTATTTCTAATAGATAAACTAATTTCAAAACATGTGCTTCACTTTCAAAAATATCTTTTTAAAGTTTAAAGTTACATTTTATTATAGTTAATTTTTCCTTTAAAGATTTTTCAAGTGAGCCTTAGAAGATACAGCCCTATCCACAAAAATTCTGCCATTTATTTTCTAAAGCGAAACATTATAGATCTTATTCCAGACTTTAGAATACTTAAAAATAATGTTTGGAGTTCAAGAAACACAAAACTAAAAAGTTATATAACGTATAAATACACATATAACAATAACAATACCTGCACCTCAAGAAGAGATGAAAATATTCAAGACCTCACAAAAATGCAAATCCCAAACCAAGGAATAGAAATAGTTACTGATAAAAGTAACTTGTGCCAACACAGCAATTTAAAACAATTCCACATATTTGGTACATCAGTGTTTTGAGAACCGCAGGATCATTAGGAAAAGTCTCTGTAATAGTGTTATTGATTTTCATATATCTTTAGAAATATACTTAACAACAAACTCCTCCATTCAATTGATATGATCAAAATGATGTCATATTCTTGATGGTCAGTTCATTTTGCTCTGATATCTCTACCTTGTAGAGATGTTTTTTTTTGCTTAACCTAAAAACAAATAGGAAATTGTGTACATTAGAAATGACGGCAGCAAACAATTAGTTTACTTACTGATAAGACTAATGTTGTCTTATCAAAATATCCTCTGGTATAAAAGTGAACCTATTAAGGAAGGAGTGGCTCTGATTAATTAAATCAATCTCAAAGACAGGTAGTAGGAAATTATTTCCAGTAAACTGAATGAAATACTTACTTTGGAGAACCTGGCCTCGCAAGAATGGAGTGCTAAAATGGAAGCCTCATTCTATAAACTCTGCATGTTCTTCTCCAAATACCATGAAAAGTCCAGGCCGGAGGAGGGGGGGGGGCAGTTGTCTGACACTGCTAAAAGCCTCAAGTCTCTACTTCAGCCCCAGTGCTGCTGCCAATGAATGTGCTATTCTACAGGGCAATCAAAAGGTCATAAACTGGGAGGGAGGGAATAGGAAAGTTGCAGCACCCCGTGACCATACAGTCAGACAAGTGCCTGACTTTTTGATCATGTAACCATGGGAGCAGTGCAATAGCCATAAGTTAAGCATGAGTCATAAATCCTTTCATTCTATACTATCCTAATTTCAAATGCTCACTGAATGAATGATTGTTAAGTCAAGGTCTATCCGTATGCCAACTTTTGCTTTCTTTGTTACCATTATATCCTCAGGAATTTTCCCAAAGTTTAAAAGTTCAAAATTATCAATCTTCAATGTTCTTTATATACTGTTTCTTCAGAGCAAAACTTTTGTTTCCATATGGTATCACAGGGGGAAAAAACATTGCCTATACATTTCTGAACTTTTGTACATATTGTGATATCTGATTATTTTCTCCAAGATACTTCTTTTCCCTATCAAGTAGTGGCCTGTGATGTATTTTTCGACTGTTGGTTCACTTGCTGTTGGTGCTAATAGATTTTAAAAGGAAGAAGCTGTTTATCACTTCAATGGCTTGTCAATTCTATTTATGGCATCTGTTGTCATTAGTTTGATCCGCTTTATTTTTTCATTATGCGTCTTTATTTTCATTATTAGAGCTTACAATCATTTGATTTTCAGTTATCAGAGTCCTGTCATCAGCACAGATTGATATATCTTCCTCCAGTTTTAAAATCATATTAATCTTCTTCCATCTGGCTCTCAACATATATGCCATGTAAGTTTGAATAAATAAGGAGAAAGTATATTCACTCCTGTTTCACCCTGTTCCATACAGTCTGGTTTCCTTTCCTGTGTATATGTTTGTCATGAGGACAATGAGTTTATTTTTTTTCAATAGATTCATTTGGCTATCTACCTAACAACTTCAGTGGCTCTAAATGTTCTGTGATTCCCATTTTCCTAAGGGCACTCCATAGCTTCATGTAGTTGAATGATCAAAAAGCTTTCTATAATCAATGAAACACTTATTGACTTCTTTTTGGTATTCTTTGTCATTCTTAATTATCCAATTGCTTGAGTAATAGTAATGTCTCTAAAAGCAGCTTCAATATCTGGTATTTCTCTTTCCAAGTTGGCCTATAATGTCACAATCTTTAACACCGTTTTGGTAATATGTGAAATCAAGGATATTTTTTGCAATCGTTTGTAATCTCTGTTAAGCTTCCTTTCCTTGTTATTGGTAGAATGATCTCTTCCCATTTGTTGGATCAATGTGTCAATATCCAGATTGGGTGGCATAGTTTGATTAGAATGTTTACTGATTCTTCTGTTGTTTACAATATTTATATAGATATTCCATCAGTTCCTATAATCTTTTGATTTTCATAATGGACAGAATGTTGAGCTAATTATCTTTTGGAAAAAGCATATCTTTTAAATAGAAAATTATTTTTAAAATATCTTGGTAATTAGCATAGCATTCAGCATTTTAATCTTCCATTTTTGCTTGATCCCTCTGAATCACTTACTATTTGTCCACTGGCATTCTTTAGCATACTAATTTGAGGTTGGAAACTCAAGATCTTTTGAATGAATTACCAGTTGTTTTTTCCATATCTGTTTCCATTCGCAATGCGTTTATCTATATATATAAAAACAAAAACCACTCACGCCGCATCACGGAATCTCCAGAACCATAAAGCCTACAAACTTGAAATGTGGCACGTATGCTCCTCTTGGCTTCTAGGTGCTCGCTAAGAAAGGATTTTTCGAAATGACCATCAGATCATTAGTATTTCTTGTATTATTATTAACACGCTCTGATGCTAAGGAGTTAAGATGTTATATTCCCCCCCTCCCCACCTGAAAAGATCTCTGTTCCAACTGCCACTTGGGTGCGGCCAGTGCGTGACTCATCTGGCCTGCGGCTGGGAATTTGGAGAGGATCAATGGGGCCAGATTGAGGGAGAGGAAGGGATAAGATAGGACATGTCTTTGTGGGGCACGCCTGAGGGAGAGAAGGTGATAGGAGACGAGAGGCTTCTGTGGGGCCAGCCTGAGGGAGAGACGGGAGTAGGACAGAATCAATGGGGCCAGCCTGAGGGAGAGAAGGGGGATAGGAGAGACTTCTGTGGGGCAAGCCTGAGGAGAGAAGGGGAGAGGAGAGGCCGATTGCAACTACTCATTAATTTTCAAGCTGTTAGTGTCAATTTATCAAGCCCGATCACATAGTTTCGTAGTAGAGCATGGGGATTCAGCTAGTATGAAATACAGTAAGGAATTCTGTTTTAGGAAAATCAAGTTACCCTTTAATTTGTTGCATCTCATCAAATGTCTCTGGCAGCGGTTTCCCAAAACTTTCTGGTAAGAAGAGGGTGAGAACCCCTATCAATAACGTTAGGCTGCCCATGAGGATGTAAGGCAGAAATTTACCATAGGCACCTGGTAAAACATGAAAAGTAGATTTATTACATATGTTATAATATTAATTCATAATCACTATATCTATTTGATTTCTGTTCTTTCCTACTGGATTTTATCTGGATGTATTCCTTTTAACCTTAATAACAGCAATCTTTCATGATCTTTATTTAAAATTATATTATTTTACATTATCCAATGTGCACTGTGTTTTGTTTTGTGATTTTATTCCTTTGAATCACATTTTATGATGTTTTAATCGATGTTTTTACTGCACATTACCTCAGTATTAGATAGAAAGTATGATTTAAAGAAGTCAGACATTTAGAGAGTGATTTATTAAGTAAGATTTATGAATGATTGGCAATGAATGTATATATGTTTAAAATCCATGTTTCAGTGTTGCATACTATGCAATAAAATCTTTCTTGTAATCTTATTAAGAATAGTTTTTTGTTGTGCCTTTAAATCAGTGTTGACTTCTTGGCAATGTTTTAGAAATGATTTGCCATTGCCTGCTTCCTAGGGCTGAGAGAGTTACTGGCCTAAGGTCACCAGGCTGGCTTTGTGCCTAAGGAAGGATTCGAACTCCTCCTTTCTGAGCCTGGTACCTTTAACCACTATCCCCAAATAGTTTTTTTTACTACCATTAATAATTACTGGTCATGAATTATAATCCACCATTTGAAAAGAACTAGGAATCAAGTGCTTCTAGAAGAATAATGATGGCTTGCACTGTATATCTAGGTCTTTTGAAAGACAATGTGAGTTACTGAGCTTTTCTCTATCGTCTAAAAGCTAAACTAGGGAGCATTTTATTTTGAGCACATTTAAAATGATAAATTTCTTACCCAGGAAAACAAAGTATGGTGCAATAATGCTGCCCACCCGGGATGACATGGAAGTAGAACCCACTGCCATGTTTCTTACTATCGTTGGATAGAGTTCTGCAGTATAGACATAAAGCATGGAGAAGGCTGATGTGATCCCAAATTTCCCCAGCATCACTAAGATGAGAGACAGAATGTGGAGATCTGTGGAAAGAAGTTAAGAAACAAAACTTCAGTGCTTCTTTTATTATCAACTTTGCACAAGTCCTACTACTTTTACTTCAGTTTATAATTGTCATCGTCATCACCATCATTTTATCCATTGTCTATGCACTGCAGGATGAAGGCCTCTTCTGCAGATGCTTTTTTATCAAGTGGGAACCATTCTATGACTGCCTTGGTCCACCTAGCATGCAAAGCTGAGAAAACTCAGGCATGCTTTTAAGGCCTAATTCATATCAACCCATGAGTTCTCAGAAAATGATATAAAATATTTGAGAATCGTGATACTAATATAGACATCTCCAGAAAGAAGTGGCTATGCATGCAAAGATGACTGTGCAAGGGTGAAAGATCACTTGTTCAATCACAAATAGCCTTATGTCTTCATGGCTGTACATCACAAAAAAAGGTACTAGAGCAATCTATCAGGGCTAGGGAGAAAAATCACTACTGTCTAAAATTACCTAATTAATGCACGTATTGGACATATAATATAGCTATCCAAACAATATTGCTTCATAAAGGTGCTACCAGTGGTGGGTTGCAGGTGGTACCCCCCAGTATGGGCATACCAGAGCCTTCCCGTTCCGGTACGGTGCTCTGGCCCGCCTGAGCTCCTTACCTCTCTTTTAAGGCTTCTGCGCTTCCGTGCACGGTGCGTATAGCACCTGTGCGACGCTCTGCAGAGCAGCTGGAGCGTCGCGGAGGTGCTAAGATGCATGCATGTGCATCCATATGGACACCGCTGGGCCCGTTCCAACTGTACTAGTTAGAATGGGATCCAGAACGCACCACTGGATGCTACTCAGGTGAAAGTACAACTGTAGCTATGTGAAACTGCAGGCATGATGGTCTCATATAACTCACTAGTAGTCTTTAGCTTTTTTTTTGCCATACATCTGCCATTAATAAACCAGGTCACTGGAATTGTTGATAGATTTAACAGAATCTGTTCAATCTATCACAGATCCAAAAACCATTTTTCAAAAAGTAAACAGATTTCATGCACCATAAAGTAGAAGCCATGCAAAATAATTGCTCAATATGTTGCTAGCTCAATATGACCATAATATTGTTCGATTTGATTTCTTTCTTTTTCTGCTTTTCATCTGAAGGAATGGCTTGTTGGGCCTGAAAATGAAAATTATAGGCATGCAAAGAAAGAATCTTTCACCCTCCAATCCTTCCGCGCTGCTGTAAAGATCTGGC